AAATTATTTGCAGAGGGAATATCACTAACTTAATTGATTGAAAAATAATAGCATGCCATTAAAGTGGAATTGTTCAATAGGTAGTAAGAAAAGACATAAACAAAATCAGAAAAAAATTCAATGCAGAAAAACAGTAATAGCAATGCCAATGTAGGCTATTTTCAATTCATTTGATATATGTTATCCATATCTTTTTTGAGTCATACTCTCATCCTTTGGCCTACACATTTGTGTTGCACATCACTTTAGGAAGCAAGAAACTGGAAGTAAACTAAAATCATTCTATTCTGCTAATGAACAGTAGATAGAAGCATCAGAATAGGAAGATTACTAATACATAATGTACGATGGCCATGATTATTCAAAGTAATCCTACCCTTCTTACTACGTATAGAATTGGCGTACACAAATGCTATCATGGGAGGATACATTATCTCTCTGAAGGGGCTGAAAAAATTCTCATGATACACAGCAAGTACATTTTCCTTTACATGCAAATTTTTTAGTTTGTGAACAAACTAACAGAAAGAAGCTACATTTTTCCCAATACACACAGAACCAGAATAAAGGTTATTTATGTCATTAATTTAAAGCTAGAAGGTCAACAGTATAGAGGAAGGGTAAGTTAGAAGATAGGGTAAAGATACGCTAACACGATCACATTCTGTAATAAGCAATGGCAGCTTTCATCACTTAAAGACTCAGTATTAAACTTCCCATACCTAAGATGAGCCAAAAAATGCATGACCAGAGAGATTTCAAATGCAGCTTCTAAACATACTAGTTGCACTTACTGTGAGCTCTCAGATGTTTGAAATTTAAGTAGACCTCACCAAAAGGTAGCAGTTTCCCCTAGCTCAGTGATGGCAAAAATGCTAAGATGTGCTTAGGGGGTTATACAGCCTGGAACGTTCACAGTTAAAAGTTTTATATCTGTTTTGATCAAAATAGAAGCGTTAAATAATGTTGTTGGGCTTTGACAGATTCCCATTTTGTTTTTATTACTGTTAAATCAAAATTCTGAAAAGGTATTTTGGTATATTTGAGTTGCATACAATGTGCATACAAATACAAATTCATATATCTATGCCCTCATCTTATAAATTATGCAAGCATTAATTAAAAATTTGTCATCCTGTGATCATTATTTCTTGAGAACTACAGTAGCCCAACAGATTCCTTCCTGTTGGCTTAGGCCATAAAAAAGAGAAAAAAAAAGTCTGAGCTTGAGATAGTCAAAAACACTTATTGTTCATGAAATCTGAAGAAGAAATATGCCACTGAAGGCATTTACATCATTATTATCACCATACAACCCAGGTACATATATTTTATACAGTGGATCTTTTTAAGTCAGTGCACCAAAAATGAATGCTGATCCATTTTTAAAAATGGATCAAGAGAAAAACTGTAAATCATGATTCTCTACATCATTCTGCTACTGGATAATCACAAGGCTGTAATCAAACACATTATGTGGGAATCACAGAACCACAAAAACCTCACACTTTAGAAACGGCCTTAAATATCACCATCTTGTCTAATGGCCAATCTATTGAACGCTTAAACTTTCCTCTAAAATTTGCCTGCTGAGTAATTATCCCACTTGCTTGAGTGCCTCGAGAACAATGAACTTCAGTACCTCCCTTTCCAGTCAATTATATCTGGCCAGAACTCTGTTCCAAAGTTCTCCCTAATAGGAGCCAAAAATATCCCCTCCCCCAGGAGTTTCTAGTCCTTAGTCCCAGTTTCAACTACTGGTGTCAAGTAACAAAGTCTACCCTCCCATTTACATCACATTTAATTTGCAGAGAAACTTTAATTACTACTTCAGCTCATTCAACTCATCCTAATATGACGTGATTTTAATTATGTCTAAAATTCTTATACTTCTGACTTGAAAATATTTACCATCAATGTACAGAAAGCTTTGTAAACTTTGCCCTAAATATTCCTAAGTAATATAATTAATGCAGATTTAGGAAAAACAAACACCATTTTAAAACCATACATATGTATGTGTGTGTGTGTGTGTGTGTGTGTGTATATATATATGTATGTACATTCACTGTATCATGAGTATATATTATGTCATAATTTTTTCCAAATGAGATCTGCCAAGAAATGCTTCCCCCCACTCTGTACTTGTAGAAGTGATTTCTGGACCAAAATGTAACTCATACTTCAATGGTGACAGGTCAATCACTTTAGCCATTTAAGTTCATATTAGATCCTGTTTCACAAGTTCACTACATATCCTAATATCTCATATTTGTATGAGTGATCCCTCTGCATAGTTTTATTGTAGCCACTGAATATCCTTAGGCCAAAATTTCAACAGGAAATATAATCTAGGACAAAGGTATTTCACTAATTCCCCAACTATTAACTCACCAAATTTTCTTTATATAGTGATCATATTTCTAAACACTGTCGATAAGGACCCTATAAGTTATCTTAAAGTAACTTTGCCAAACTCAGATATTATGATTTTAATAAGAGACAGCCAAAATTGTTTGGTTTTCACTTGTTCTTTGAACCCATTTTTATTATATGTATATTTTATGTTGGGCACGATGTTGTCCTCCGGTGATTAAGTCAAAAAAGACACTGCTCTCCAGGAGCTTACAGTCTAGCAGTGAAAGCAGACCAAGCTGATGGTTACCACACAGCATGACAAATGTGAGCAGTAATCAGAGAGTGTGGTTATCTAAACCAGAGGATCGAGATAAGGCAATGTTTCCCAAAGGTGATATGGTTAGAGTTTAGGAACATAATGGGACAATCAGCATAAGCTGCTGGATATAGGGAGATGGTGATCCCTAGAGAGATCTTAGATATTCCTAGAGACTTGGAAATTAATAGTGAATAAATGGCCATTGTAATCAGGAATTTAGGTAAGACTACTGAAGCAAGAGCTAACTCAGCAAGAAGGAAAGCTTATTACTTCAGGTAAAGGGAAAGACATGGAGACGTGAAAAGGCTGGTGTGTAGGAGACTTGACCAACTGGTGCACTGGGATGGGGGAGGGTCCAAGGATAGGGAAGATATTGCTAGAGAGGTCACAGGTCTTTGATTAAGAAGCTTCTCTGTAGAACCAAGAAATCTGAACATTATCCAGAAGGCTATGGCGACCCATAAAGGGTTCTCAGTATTGGAACAACCTAATTAAACTGAAGATTTGGAAAATATACTCTAGGTCAGTGATGGAGAAAGGTAAGAAACAGGAAGACTTTGTTTTTAATGAGTCAACCAAAGGCAGTGGGAAGCAGTAATTAAAGCAATGTCCACATGGGAATGAAACGAAGGCAATAGCTAGAGATGGCTAACACTGAATCAGCAATTCTTGCGATTTCCAAATTTGAGAAGCTAAGGTAGAAAGAGACAGTCTAGAGGAATCCTTAGGGCTTTAATGTGGAAGGGAAAGAAAGTGGTGTCAACTGCTGAGGAAGGGCGCCCCGTGTTAGGAGTGATGGTGAGGGGTTCTGAGTTGACATTTCATCAGGATGGGACAGTCAGGTTGAAATGCTTGATGCAAGTATGTATGTATGTATGTATGTGTATGTATATATATATATATATATATATATATGCAAGTATAGGGCCAAAAACACAAAGGAACCAGATCCTTTAGAGAAATCAGCTGGAAATTTTGACTTAGGAGTCGACAATGAATAAACATTAGTTAAAGCCATGGATTTGGACAAAATAACTCAGGCAGAATAGAAAATCAGAAGAAAGACCAATACGTTAAGGTCAATATTAAATCCAAGCTGTAAAAAGGCAAGCATGTCTAAGGACTTATCTAAAATGTTTTTTACAAATATAAAGCTCATCTATTACTTTAAGTACATACTAAATTTCTACAGTTGTTGGAAGTAAATTGATCCGGTATTTTATCAACTTACTATTGCTGTATAACTTACATATCTATCAATCGATTGATCTATCAATCTATCTAGGGTGGGTGTGCAGCCCAAGAGTTAAGAAGCTGGTTTCCATTTTGGAATACCAGATTCCAAGGTTCACAGCCAGCTCCTGACTTCAGCTTCCTCTGCAGATTCTTGGGGGGAGGGGGACAAGGAAGGGGAGTAAAAACTCGTGATTGTTCAAGCACCAGTGTTCTTCCTGCCACCCTCTTAGGAGACCTGGATTGAGTTTATGGATCTTCATTTTGGCCTGGCCAGCCCCAGGCCTTGCAGATATTTAGGGAATGAACCAGTGAATGGGAGTGCGCTCTCTCTCTCCCTCTCTCTGTGTGTGTATGTGTATGCCTGCATCAAAATTTTTTTAAACAGAAGGAATAATAGCATCAATTCATGATTTTCTAGCATCTCAAAACAAAGTAGCATTTAAAAGAGTTAAGATGCCAAAAAAAATTTAGGGCCTGACAGAAGCTCAACATCAGAATTATATCCTAATGGGCCAGCACTGTGGCACGCAGGTTAAGCTGCTGTTTGAAACACCAACATTCCCTATTAGTATGCCAGTTTGAGTCCTGGTGCCTGTTTCCAATCCAACTTCCTACTAATGCACCTTGGAAGGCAGTGGACAATGGCCCTAGTACATGGGCCCCTGCCACCCATGTGGGACACCAACATGGAGTTCCTGGCTCCTGGCTTCAGCTTGGCCCAGCCCTGGCCATTGTAGTCATTTGGGGGAGTGAACCAGCAGATGGAAGATCTCTCTTCTGTTTCTCCTGCTCTTTCTGTCACTTTGTCTTCCAAATAAATAAATAAATATATATATTTTTTTAAATTAAGGTCGAGGGGACACAGCATTAGGGCACATCAGGTTAAGCTGCCTTCTGCCATGCTGGCATCCATATGAGCAGCAGTTCAAGTCCCAGCTACTCCACTTCAGACTGATCTCCTTGCTAAGGCACCTGGGAAAGCAGTGGAAGATGACCAAATACTCATTGCAAACTATCTATCCCAATATGTACCTTAATATCTCCTATAAAACAACTATACAACTTCTATAAAACTGTAATAACCTACCTTTAAATAATGATGATGATGATGATGATGATGGACAGAATGTTATCTATATAAATATGATATTTAAGAAATCATAATTTTAAAATGACCTGCAATAAAAAATCAGTTTTAATTCTAGATACTGCATATTTTCCATTATTTCCTAAAATCGCACTATACTTTGGGAAGGTTATTTGTTATATATACACAATTCTATTGCTGTATTATAATATCAGTTGTTTTTACTTTCTAGGAATACCCATGTTTCTTTTAACAGAGTCCAAACCACAAAACTTTTTTTAAGTTTGTGTTTGACTTTAGATTTTGTTTTTAATTTAATCACATTATTTTTGAGAGATCCTAACATAAGCCCTTTACAAATACTGAAATAGAAAATTGATTTACCATGTGAATTTTCTTCTACCATGCATCAATAATTCTTACAAACCAACAGACCTTAAGATTGTAATTTAGCAATCTGATTTTTAATGCATATTCATTTGGAGGTATTCTGGTAAATCAATGTATGAACTGGTATTTGTTCAAAACCTGGACTCTAAGTATCTAGTAAAAATTACACCTTAACGGGGCCGATGTTGCATCTTAGCGAGTGAAGCCACAGTCTTCAGTGCCAGCATCCCATATGGGCACAAGTTCCATTCTGGGCTGCTTCCTGCTGGTGCCCTGAGAAGACAGCAGAACACTACACTGCCCAACTGCTTGGGCCCCTGTACCCACACGGGAAACTGGGGTAGGCTCCTGGCTCCTGGCTTTGGAACGGCCCAGCTCTGGCCTTTGTGGTCATTTGGGGAGTGAACCAACAGATGGAAGACCGACCTCTCTGCCCCTCCCTGGATCTCTCTATGTCTTTCAAATAAATAAATCTTAAAAAAAAAATTATACCTTCAATGTGAAAAAAGAAGTGTAACTTTTTTCTTCTGTAAAGGATGTACAAAAATTTCATAAAGGTGGACGCAATGGGTTAAACTGCCACTTGGGACATCCGCACATCAGAGTCTCTGGTTGGAGTCCCAGCTACTCTGCTTCCAATCCATCTTCCTGTCAATATGCCTGGGAGGCATTTGGTCTCCTGCCCTCAGCGTGGGAGACTGTGATGGAGTTCCTGGCTCCTGGCTTGGTCCTGACCTTTCTGGTTGCTAAGGGCTGTGGGGAGTAAATCAGTTGATAAAAGAGCTCTCTCTGACTCCTCTCAGTTCATTATGCCTTTAAAATAAATAAATAAATCTCTGAAAATTACATAAATTCAAGACATGAGCATTACCATTAACACTGAAAATTCATCACAATCTAAAGCTCTCTTGGTCCTATTTTCCATGATACAAATGGATACATATCCTGATATTAAAAGTTTTGCTGATATTTATTTTAATGAATCACTTCACTTTTATAAAAATGTAACATTTCTGCATATAAGAATATAAGACATGAAGCACATACGATGGGCACAGATACTGCTTCTTTTTCCCCTTTCCTTTCTTTGAAGACTTTTCCTTAGAATAGGCCTCTTCAACCCACAAGGAAATGAAAATAAACAATGTGATCGCCAATAACAACTTCATCTTGAACAGTTAAATTTCAGATCACCTGCAAGAGAGAACAAGAAATGGTTTACATTGATGGAGCAAATGATAACAATATAATTGTCCCTTCACTGAGTATGACCATCACTACCCCAAAGCAAATGCATTTGTATATCAAATTCCCATCACTCAATCCTATATGCTGAGGTTACACTTCCTTCATTGAATATTTAACTTTCTTTCATATAGCAGAAACGTTCTTTTTTTACATAGTAGCAAAATTTGGCTTAAATAAAGGTACACAAAACAAGGCTATCCCCAAGAGGTACAATAGGTTACTATTTAAAATTTCTGATTCTATTGTTACATAAAATTGGAAATTGATACTGAATTGCACAGTATATCAACATATGTTTAGAAAAATATCAAGGAAGATGTTCAATACAGTGTTAAAATGATTATCTTGAGCTAGTACCTTTTAAGTACCTTTTATTTTTTATTTTAAATCTCTATACTGTTTGTCCCTTGCATGTACATTTTTCAAAAATAACAGAATTTTGCTTTAAAATGTTTATTTTTATTTATTTGAGAGGTACAGTAACAGAAAGAGAGGAAGGGGGGGTAGATTCATCTGCTGGTTCACGCCACTCTCTAAATGCCTGCAACAACTCCATCCAGGTCTCTCACATGGTGGCAGGGACCCAAGCAGTGGGTCAGACCACGATCTTGCACAACAGCAGGAAGCTGGATCTGAAGCAGAGGGACTCAACCCAGGCTCTCCGGGATGTGTCCCAAGCAGCATTTAACCCACTATGCCAAAACACTCACTCCTGCAAGTGTCTTACAGGAAAAACTGTCCCAAGTTTTACAGAACCAAGAGAAAAAGTTTAGTCCCAAAGTCTTCCATTCTCTAAATTTGCCATTTTCATTTATGCACATTAAATCTGCAAGCTACTTTGTACTCCCACAAAAGTGCTTGTTAATTTGGCTTGCCAGCTTTCCCACTTAGGTGATACTAAACAGTTACCATCAAAAGCATTACTCAAGAAATTCTAGGCAATATTAGATAAAATAACACCAGCGAGGTCATACCCTTTTAAACAATCTTAGCTACATTCTAATACCATCATTCATGCTTAAATGAGACCGATGTTCTTGCCACAGAGGCCAGTGCATTCCAAAAACCTTCAGGCATCTATTAAAACTGAAATGTAGAACTATTCTGCGTCCTGTATGTCCCAACCTAAAATTGTTTCTTTCCTTGGTCTTTCTGCAAGGTAAAAGACCTGTCGTACTCCTCAACATTAACTACACTGCCATCTCACTCTGACAAACGTGCTTCTCCTATGTCACCTCCTATGTCACCCTCACCTCTCCCCATAAAAATGGTTTTCCTTTTCTTACCGCTTCCCATTTATCTTTTGCACCCCCCAAGACAAGCAACAAGGGCTTCCCCCTGGGTCCTTTAAACTGACTGCATCCAGGGGCTTACTAGGCTCCCCGGCCAACTCGCAGGGTCGGACGCCCCTCCTCCCCCTCCCACCTGCTTCCAGACAGCTTCGCCCCCAGCAGCAGGTGCTTCTCCCACCACCCCCCTCCCCAAGGAAACGCCAGGGCCGTCGTCATGGTCCCCACGGAGGGGGCACGGGCGAAAGTCGGTGCCCACTGCGCCCCACTCTTCTTTCCGCGGGCACAGCTGCAGGGACTGGGGCATCTTCACCCACGACGCCAGGAGCGCTCGCTGCCACCGTCACAGGACCTACCGAACCTCGGTCTCTCTGCCCCTCCTCCACACACCTGGTCTTCCCGGGCTGGGCCGGAAGAGGCCCCACTATAGACCGTGGTATCTCGCCGGCCCGCACGCCGCAGTGCTCCCGGGTCTGACCCGCTGCTTCCGCAGGGGCGCTCGCCGACCCCGGACCGCGCCGCCGCGGGGACCCTGCCTGCCTCCCTCTCCTCCCCTCCAGGGAGCCCCGCCTTACCGGGGGGGCGCGCCGCCCGCGGCCGCCAGGCGAGATGGCCGCGACTCCGGGCCCGGGAGGCTGTGTCTGTGTCTGTGTCTGTGTGTGTGTGTGGCTCCCGGGGGGTGCAGCGGGCGCAGAGCCGGGGCAGCCGCGTCCCCGCCGCCCGCGCCACCGCCGGGGCTGACGCGCCTGCTCGGGCCGCGGAGCCTGCGCCGTGCGCGCCGTGGTCGGGGCCGCTGCGGGCACCGCGCGGGGGCCGGGGGCGGGAAGAGGCGTCCCGGGCCCGCGAGAAAGGGCGTCGCGGGCCCTCGCGGGGATTGAGGGCGGAGGAGATGCATCCCCCAGCCCTCTTCAGGGGCCTGAAGGGGAAGGGGCCGGGGAGGTGGGACGGTGTGGGCACGCAAAAGGGGAAAATGGTTCAAGTAGGTGCGGGCTCCTTAGCACCACCGCCAACACCACCGAGCAGAGCGGATGCCCCTGCAGGGTTGTTGTGAGCTCATCCTATGCCTAGAATCCTAGCATCTAGCAGTCTCAGAAGCTGATTTCCAATCTCGACCAGCCTGACCTTTGCAAAAGTAAGCTGAAGCGGCTCAACGTCCCCGAGACAGTCTAGTTACGCAGGCGACACTGCTTTCAGATCTGCTCCAGAATGAGCATCTCTGTACATTCGACGGTTGCAAAACACCCTTTCCTGGAATTACCCCCGTTTAGCTCGCTCCGCCAAGTTCTATGTCCTCTGCTCCATGTTCTCGATGAAGCAGAAGCCCAGACATGTTGAGAGATCGCCAAAGGAATTGACCACAGACTTGAATCAGCGACCTCTCCGCATCCGAGCCAGGCGTCGCCTCTGCCTTCCCAGAGCAAATGCGCGCTGTCTTCATTCTTGTTGAAGATGTAGGTCTTTATTTGCATAAAGTAGGTCTTTATTTGCATAACTGGGTAACAGTTTTTCCCTTACCCCTTGAAAGTGTGCTGATTGATTTTTGATTGTGAAAGCTTTGTTCAGATGAACATCACTCAAGATTGCATGATACACCTACACATGTGTCTGCCAATAAATTTCCCACCTATACATGCCAAAATGGGGAAGAGGAACATTTTTTATACATAAATCGATTCTATAAGCTTCACAAAATATCCTGCTGCCTAACACTAGTGATCATTAACAAGTATGTTATTTATTTATTTATTTATTTATTTATCTATGGAGATTCTATGTTTGGAGCCCCAGCATTGAATCAGGATATGTCTTTTGATCTTAAATATTTATAAAGGAGAACTATGTTGATAATGTAAATTATAAAAAGAAATAATATTTGGAGAATAGGTCAAATAAAAAGGGAGAGAATAATTACTTCGCATTGGAGTTTAGATGTTGAAGAAAACCTAAACCTACTCTTCAGGTAGTCAAGACATCATTAAGATTTTGGAATAATGGGATGTTCAGCATCCTGTAATGAAATAGATTTATCTTTATGTATGAAATATTACACATTCAGAAGAATTTCAATGCTAAAAATTCTCACAATTGGCTTACTCGCCCTCCCTTTAATGCCTCTAACCATACCTCCTAAAGCTACTACACTGTAGAATTAGGTTATGCATAATAAAAGCATGCCCAACTGTTTAGATGGGCTTGTGGAATTTTCTGCCAAAGGTTGGGAAATATAGCGGATGCTCTAAAGGGACCTGTTCTAGGACCGTGAAAGCGCCAAGTTCAGAATTTTAAATATCTTTTTCTCTGAAGATGTTCTGCTTGTCTATATGTTTGATTGTTTTATGTTGGCAAAAGGAAACTTCTACATAATGGGATGAAATAATTTTCTCTAGTTCTATTAAGTGTCGATCTACTTTTCTCTATTTTTTTCTCCATCCATGCTCACTTCCTCAGGAACTTGATTTAATTACCATGTTGATAACTCCCAATCTTATTTCTCCAGAACAGATCTCTGTCCAGAGCTCTCCAACATTTCAACCTATCTACTGGATAAACATGTCACACTCAGTATGCCCAACGCTGAACGTTTTTCTCCCTGAAACTGCTTGCTACTCACTCTTTCAGATGGCAACTCCATTCCTGGGGTTGCTGGATCAAAAACCCTGAAGTTGTTCCTAAGCACCCCCCCTTCTTTTCACAGCCCCCATCTACTGTGGGGAAATCCTCTTTATTCTCGAATTATATCCAGAATCCAGCTACTTCTTACTGTTTTTACTGCAACCAGCCTGGACTGAGCCACTGTCATCTCTTAATTGGATTAAAGCAAGAGAGTGCTGGCTATCTCCCTGCCTCTACCAGTGTCCTTCCCCATCCCTGAGTAGTCCCAACACAGCAGCCAATACGCATCATGTCAGATGTCTTTCCTCAGCTCCTACCCATCAGTGAGTCCCATTTCACCCAGTTTATAGACCAGACTGCTTACAATGGTATGCAAAATCCCAGTTGTCTGCCTCTCTTCCCCATAACTCTGACTTCTCCCGCATTCCCCTTTCTCCATCTGCTCCAGCCACACTGATCTTGCTCCTTCTCCATCATTCCAGTACCAGGCATGGTCCCCAGTTAGGTCATTCTCCAATTGTCGCACCTGCCTGAAGTGCTTCCCCACCAGCCAGCCACATGTCTAATCCCTGACATCTTCAATCTCTTTACTCAGCTATGACTCTCCCATTGAGAGTACAAATTCCCCTGTCCAAGGATTTCTGATCGCTTTTTACGTGCTTCAGCTTTTCTTTCTTTTTCATAGTCCCCACTGCCTATTAATATATTACATAAAATACTTACACATCCATTGTTTCTGTTCCCTTACTAAAATGTAAGTTCAGTGAAGGCAGGGAGTTTAATCTGTTGTCCACTGATGTTACCCAAACACATGGAACAGTTTTGAATGTATGGGTAAGTTTTTGTCTAATTGTGTGACTTCTTGAATTCATGTTTCCTTCTCAGCAAAATGAAAGCAATATATAGTCTTTAGGATTGTTCTCAATTATTTGGCATATAGAAGAAGAATTACAAATAATTAGCTCTTCTTTTTTTGGTTGATTCTACGATAGATTTTTGACTCATGGGGCTCTGTGATACATTTTTT